CCATGGGGTCACCTCCGGGGCAGGTGGGAGTCGAACTCATGCTGAAGTGGCTTTAGCTTCTCAGTGCTGTGCTTTAACCCGCTGCACCACCAGGGGGTGCCCATAGTTTCCATTTTTTAAGCACAATTTTATGTGCAGGCAGCTACTGAATGCTTTATACTTAGAAATGTGATTTGAGGAACTGAAGTACTTCAGATATTCACTTCATCTAAAAATGATTATTCCAATTTAATAGGTAAGAGAAATTGACTTTAAAAAGTGAGCTAAATATCTTTTTCAAGGGCACCCAACAATAAGATATCATATATTCAAATGTCAGGTGTCAGACTTTGTGTTTTGCTATTACACCAAACTTCTTCCAAACTTTAAACACTCAGAGTATGAAAAAAAGAGGAACCAGTTCTATCTGATGAAGGTTTTGAATAGTGAGGCTTGACTAGAACAGCTTCAGAAATTTATTCATTGAGTGGCTCTTGAAGATGATGTGAGCATTTCCCGGGACACAATACAAGGAGAAAATAATTATAGACAGAAGGAAAAATATGTTCGAAACACTGAGAGTGATAAAAGAAAGCTGTATTTTGAAAAACCCACAAAGAAAATATATGACTGGAACATGGAACTCCTATGTGGTTAGACAGGAAAAAAGTGCCAGTAAATTAGGCAGAAAACACAGGCATAATCCGATCATGGGAAGTCTTGATTGCCACACTAAAAAAAATTATAGCTTTAGCCAGTAGGCTGGGAATGACTACTCAAGGATCTTAGGCAGATAGGGTCATATGAGACCTAGAGGGTCACACTGATGGATAATATTTATGGTATTAGAGCTAAAGGCAGAGAGATGTGCAGAATAAGGACTAAATGGTAAGTGAAGAAGGATAACCAAGGGAAAAAGAAGAGATGTTCACAAAGATGGGACTAGCCAATTGATTTCAGGTAAAATGAGCACTAAAAAGAACTCATTGAGTTTTGATTAAAAGATGATTAGATGATCTTGACAAAATATTCTCAGGAAGTTGATGTACAAAAAGTGAAGACAATGAGTTGAATCAAGAAGCTTAGCTTCAGAAATAATCTTATTTAGTGAATAAAAGGGCTATTTGCATGAACACCGATGCAAAAATCCTCAACAAAATCTTAGCTAACAGAATCCAACAATGCATTAAAAGAATAATACACCATGACCAAGTGGGCTTTATTCC